ATAGTACCATCTGTTTGAAAATAAACATCAGAACCTTTACCAAAATCAGGAAACCAAGAAGGCTTACAATTAATTGCATGTTGATTATTACTATTATTAACATAACTAAATTGAGCAATATTAATATCATTTCTATTATTTATATTAAATATAAAACTATCAGTCGTATTTTTATTTGTACTCCCATTCCAATTAAGTGGATTATAGCCACCAACTATTTGATTTGAATTTTGTATTTTTCCAACTGCAAGAGTTTTGTTGAAATTATCACATTTTTGATGGAATATAGTTGCATTTAAACCATCTCTACTGCTTCGATACAGAAGTTTGAATTCATATTTGACTTCTCTGAATGAAGTGTATGTTGAATTTTTTTTATCAATCCAACTTGCAAAAAGCAATGTAAGGTTTTGATTGATTATTAATGATTCAAGTTCTGAATTTCTAGATTTTATTTTTTTCTTTCTTGATGGTAGTAAATTTAAAGTTTGTTGTTTGACAGAACCCAAATAATAATCTAAAAGAGTTTCCTACAAATCATCAGGAAAAATTTCCTTAAAAGGCAAAATTTTATATCGAAAATCCACACTAGAAATATCCTGGAATCGAATTAAAGAAATTAATTCTTTTAGAGTGTTTCCCAAATCAGTAAAATTTTGTTTGTCCAAACTTTAACATAGTTAATATTGTTAATTTCTGGATGCTTGGTTACTCCCCACTTAAGAATATTTTCCCAAATAATTATTTCCTCAACATAAAAATCATCTCTTTCAAGTATAGCTATTAAAATTGGTTTTTCCAATAATTCAAATTCACTTGATTCAAATAAATTATCACTATATTCACAAAATTTTTCCAGACAAATGCTTCTTAATTCCTTAAATTTTACTTCATTAGAGTAGATTGATCTTAGAATCTTAACTGGATTTTCTTTGATGTAAACCTCATGTTTTTTGATAAAGTAATTCATTGTGAATTTGTAAAATAACTCAAGACCGAGTTCATCTGCAGCAATCAATAATTGTAATATGTCTGCCCCATTAAACTCATCTAATTCAATTTTACAAGTGTATAAAAATCTTTTAAATGTAAAATAATAATATTATTATTTATTATTATTAAATTAAAAAAAAAATAAACAAAATGGTAAATTATTATTAATAATATAGTTTAATAATAAAAGAAACTTACTTAAGTATTGTTTTAAAGACCATTTCATTAAGATTTGCCTTCTTAATAATATAGTAACCATTTTCTTTTTTTGCATTAATTAATATATTT